CCCCAAAACCCCAAAACCCCAAAACCCCAAAACCCCATTGTGTTTAAATCACATTTCATTATGAAATAAAGAAATTAATTAATGAATTTAGGGTCAATTTAAATAACAAATGATCTCAGAGTTTGTAGTTCAACAATGAATGAGCAGCTTGGTCCACGTATGGGGCACAGGCTCTTCTGATCATTTCATTCACTGTCTCTTTGGTGACAGCACCGTATGATTTTACATTAGTTCCGATTAGTGGTATCGGTGAGTGGCAGAGCAAGTCATCTCTACTCGCAGCGTTTTTCTCACCTCTCCAATCAAGTTCAAATATCTTGCAGTAAGTTTCAATAAGATTTCTATCTGATTGCTATAGGTTAGGATGACTCGTGATAGCTTCAATAGCCTGAGGTAAGAAAATAGGATAGTCATAGTTGAAGAGGTACAGTCTGACAGCTAGATTTTCAGAGATGATATGAAGCTCTCTTGAAGTCATATCTTTATATTCTTTATTGATTTTATTGCCGTACTCGTCAGCCACTAGTAACTTAGAGACAAGTCGTTCTCTGGCAGCCTTGAGCGATCTATCGTACTCAGCGTGTAGCTCAAAGTCAGACTTTCTCAGACTCTAAGGTGCTAAGGCTTATCTCTCTTCGAATTCTACCTCTTTTCTTTATAGCCATTGTTCGACAAGTTTGATTCTATCATCATATGGATTTGCTGCATTCATGAACTCCTTCAAACTCTTAAGGTCCATTTCGTAGTAGGATCTATCAAAGACATCTCTATTTCTCTTGAGTGAGTACATCTTCACTATGCCTTCGTGGTCAGTATCATTGAATTAACCGGATGCTCTGAATGCTAACTCCTCTAGTTCGTTCAAGACCAAGCTGATTTCTTTATTTCTGGTTTCAATTACCTTAAAGTCGTTACTGATACCCCAATCTTTGCGGAGTCTATCTGAATAGACTTCAGTCTCAACTTTATTGATAACTTCCTCATCTAAAAAGTGCGATAACTCGAGAACCAATTCATTAAGAGCATATTGCCCGTGTTGTTCTCTGTCGAATTGAACTTTAGTTATCGAGTTTAGTGCATATAGACTCTATGCGTCTACGTCATTCAAGCTGAGTTTAGATGGTTTTTCGGGCAATAATGAGTCTCTAAGATTAAGGACATTTCTGTCTTGGTTCTATTGAATATCGTGCAGCCAGTTCTTTAAATACTTCTTCTCATTGACTGTAAGTTCTTGCTCTTAGTTTAGTTTATAGATGATCTTCATCTTGATAAGCTTTGATTCAGATCTTGCTCTAGATAGATCGAGGTACTCTTGATCAGTCAAACCAGAGTCTAGGAGTTCTGGTTCGACATCGTAAATGAATTCACTCTTCACTAACGATTTCATGTCGTAGTTGATTGTGTAATCTGTCTTGTTTACTGTACTAATATTTAGGAAGTCATCACTACTAAGATAGTCTTGCAATAGAACATTATCAATCTTTTCCCATAATTTCTTCTCTCTTTATTTGTACTTGGAAAGTTTTTCTTAACTAAATGTATTCTCTTCATGATGTTCCTTTTTCTTTTTGAATTCAATTACTTCATCAATCATTGGCTCGATCTTATTTGCTTCTTTGAGATAGTAGTGACTGAATGGATCCTCTCTGTCCTTTGAATGGTAAGTAGATTGAACAAATTATCTGTATGCCTTTGGATCTCTTTGGAGATATTTAGGTTACTTTTGATTATCTAACTTCAATTATCCTAAATGCTCTTCAATAAGTTTTTCAGTGAAGTTGAGATTCAGTAAAACTATGTTCAAAATTTCTTTATCACTATAGTCAGACTTAAGTCCCTGCTTGATATTTTAAAGGTTAGTGATCATACTGGTTTCTTAGTCAATTGGTTTCTAAGTCTCAATTTTTTGGAACTCCTTAAGAATCATCATTTTAAATGGTTCCTTCTCAAATAATACCATTTCATCATTCTGACCCTTTTGCCTTGCAAGCTCTAGCTCATAAACCTAAGCATGAGGCTTAAGTACTTATCTTTTATGATTTGGATGTGGAAACACTCCTTATGGAATTCTTCTATGATGATAATCCTTTTCGAAGAAAAATTTGTGTTAGTCCTTGTGAAGTGGGATTTAAAGTAAGTTGAAGTTATCAAATACAGCTTTTTGTTTTTATTGCCAATCTTAATAGTGGAAGTAATCTTATACCCACATAAATCTTTGATTTATCATCTCAGGCACAATAGATTTTGTGAATTCTGAATTGGGGACTTAGGGTAATTCAACCTCTAATCTAGTTCCTAACCAGTTTTTATCAAGTTATTCAGGCAGTGGCTTGACACTCTTATCTTCCTCATGTTTAAGTTACTAGGCATGTTCCATCAATAAGGTCTTCAATGAGTCATAACCTTGAGGTAAGGATTATTTAACAAAGTGTTTGCATTAAGGATTCAGATTATCATACTATATACCTGCAAGCATCAATTAGAATCTTAGCTCATCTCTACCAATATTTCTTTGTGAAACATCAAACTTGAGCTCCATTTGCTGCTTTATTTGGAAGCATTGAGCAAGCTTTTTCATGAAAATGTCCATTCTTCTCACATCAGCATCATCTGGCAATGATGGAGTGAAATTAGCCGCCCTTGTCACAAGATCAAGAGCGAAATCAGATAATTAAGAGAAGTCACTTAGTTATTAGTCTGCTGAGACTTTGACTTATTAATCAAGTACCTACTTAAAGTTAAAGCTTCTATTAATAGCTAGTTGATACTTTTCAATGTCAAAATTGATGACTTAGCCTATGGCTACAGCTGCTGTTTAAATCTCACCCTTTTGAGCTTTCTCAAGAAGTCTCATCCTGAATCTTTACTCACCAGTTGGTTAGTAAGTGTCCTTAGTAGCGTAAGTTTCAGGAAGAACAAATAGGCCTACCTTCTAGTTCTTATAACCCATAATTAGATCAGGCTTGTATGGATACTTGTGTTCATTCAAAATTGTTTAGTCTGCAACCTGTTAATTGACAAGTTCATTCTCCATGATGACTTCATGCTGGATTGAAGCCTCGCTTAACCCTTTGGCTAAAGCGTGAAGCACTCTTCTTTTGAATGGATCATAGTTTGCATATGTCTCAGGGAATCTTGAATTTCTGTAACCGTGTTGACCATCGAATCCAGCTAGAATGGTTTTATTAGTGATTTGAACATTTTTAGGTGCTTCAAGTTTTAATGCCTGGATAGCTTCCATTAGTCTATCGTACTCTCTATATCTAAGATCATTATCTAGTCTCTCAAAGTTAAGTTTATTGAATGATTTAATGATATTGCGGAGAGCTTAGGATTCATACTGTTATAGTGCACATAGTGCCCACATTATGTTGATTTATTCACTGAATGTATATTAGTTATGGTTAACTTTTTAAGTCAATTTCTTAGCTAGTTCTTTGGCATTTTCATCTAATGTTGAACTTTAAGCGAGACCAATGAGACCGCCCTTGATACCTTAAGCGCTTGGATTTTTATTTTTGGCTAGTAAATCGAGAGCATTCTAGACTATTTGTTTTCTAAGCTATGGCTCATCGAACCTTATTGCAGCCAAACCAGTCAGTCCATTTAGTTAGGCATCTAAGTTATCCTTATCTAAGTTCACTAAATCTCTGAAATATGGAAGCAGTTTTTCTGACTCATCACTAAACACTTTCCAAGCTCTGAGGTAACTTCTTTCCATCAATACGTGTTGCTGCTTGAAGAATCTTCCATACTCCATTTCTTTGACATACTTATCTTCAGGAAGCACGTAATTCTCATAGAATTCATTCAAATAATCTTCTCTATTAACATCTTTTCTGTATGAAAGTGCAAGTGACTCCAGACCAGCAAAAGCTTGTGAGAGAGTTCCCAAATTCATAGCATCATGCAACTCTGTTAGATAGTGATCATTTGATTTCTACTCTCCATTGCTATTTTTAATGCTCTCTTGAGCAGCTTGATAGAAGGCTTCATGTTAAGGTGATAGCATCTCAGGAGCATAGTTAATCACATAGTCATAAAATACACTTGCTGCTCTTTCCATTCTATTTTCAAAAGGCTCTTAAGAGAAATGCTTTAAGGCTTCTTCTGGGTCAAGGTAACCAGCCCTTACAAGCAATTCTTATAATTCCAAAATATCGTATCTGATATATTCATTTTCTTGTAGAAAAGCATGCTTATCACTTGTCTCAAGTAACTTATAGTACTGAGTTCTAACATTTTCAAGAGCTGCAGAAAGATCCCTTTACATTTCTTTAACTTAAACAGCTGCGCTAATTGTACTTTTCATTGCATCTTCGAGTTCTTTTACTTCTTGGGACATTTAAGCTAAAGTTTTCTTTGATAAAGGCTATTTGTTCTCATTTTTCCAGTTGACTAGTATATTAACATAATGGTCGAATTCCTCTGAGTTCTAGAAACCTTTGTAGACATAGTGTCTTGAAAGGAAGTTTTTAAAGCCTCCAAATATGATTTGATGTGAACTTTATTCTCCATAGTCCTTTATTCCGTTGTATCTCTCATCTAATAGGGCATTGATTTTTTCAAAGAATAATGGCATTAGCTTGTTGTTTTTGCATTCCATTTCACCAAGTAAAGATGCAGTTTAAGCCATATGAGTAGGACTGAAGTATTGATCCTTTCTGAGTCCAAATTAGATGTCTTCAAAAACTTTAGCCATTCTCCAGCTTTACTCAAATTCATCTTGTGAATAATCATTCATATATCTGCCTCTAAATCCTCTTGCTCTTTAGGCTTGGTCTAAACTTCTTAATGTCTGAGTGAGGAGCTCTGAATTAAATCCTCTAGCAGTCAATTTATTATACGATCTTAAAATATCCTTTAGTGGACTAAGTGAGTAAAGAGGAGCTTTGATATGCTTCTCGACCTCCTTCTTGAGCCTCTTTTGATATCTGAGTTCGCTTTTGTACACTGCGTCCATTTTCTGAATGAATATCTCGTACATTTGCTGTCTTTGGTACATGTCCAGTGGGATTTCATTGGTTATTTGCTTTGCCAGTGAGTAGCCGACCTAGGTTTTATGGCTTATATTATTTTAGAACTTTTGTATATTGCTCAAAATTTCTGCATATGAGCGGTCCTTAGGTGGTTGCTGCTGTGTTTACTCCGACTGGAGACTCATATCAAATCTATTTTGGTTTTCAGTATTTCTTGATTTAAACATTGAGAAAGTTCTGAGTAAGTTAGATTGAAGAGTAAAGGGAGAGGGTAGAGATCTCCCGTGAGTCAAGAGCTATCTTGATTGCTACTGTAATGTTTATTTAATCCTAAACATCTTTATAATTCTTTATTTTAAATTATTAAATAGCCACAAAAATTATTATTCCAGGAATGAGGGGTTTTGGGGTTTTGGGGTTTTGGGGTTTTGGGG